TGAACAATAAAGATGAACACAATGCTCTTGAACAGGGCCAGAGAAAAGCCTACCATATCATGGCCATGTCAAATTATGGCCAGAAACCCTGGTTGGGACAAAGGAAGAAGACTGGGAAAAACAACAAAAGGACAGAGGACCAAAATAAGGAAACAACAACACAGAGTGTCCTTAATGAAATTACCCAAATTCCAACAGATTGATTCTGGCAACAAGAAAATGACCCCCCTTTCCAAAATGTGTGAAAATACAACAGACCACTTCAACTTGGCTCACTTTTATTTGCTTTTCAAAGAATCATCAAAAGCCTTCTGAAGGTTAAATCTCCTTTATTATTCTTGCATGACTTTTTACAAAGGTTGAAAAAAGTTTTAAAAGTTTTTCCTTTTACTTCCTAATGTGCAGAAGTGATTAATCCTTGTTGAAGTGATAAAGATATTCTTGATTGCCCTGATATGGGAAATAGGGGTTTTCCCTGGTGCAGGATTGTTGGTCCCAAGAGAAACAAAGATGATCCAGTTCAAGTGTTTCTGGAAAATGGTGCAGATGGCGCTAATGCTGACTGTTTTATCACCTCTCAATGGGTGTCACTGCCTGCACATAAGGTGATTCTCTGTGCTGAGTCCATAATGCTCAATCAACATTTCTGTGGAGCTGCTGAGACAAAAGGAAACATTAGGTATATGGGTTTTTGTTGTATTGGCATTGTACCGAATTTAAAGTTTTTTCAATCACTTTAAAATAAAAAGGTATGAGAGGACATTTTAGTGGGCTGGTTTGATGCTTCTGAAGCTTGGAGGGGAAATGTAAATTATTTGGTTTGCGCAAAATTGAAATTTTCTGACTATATTTTCTGACTAGACTTTGACTGCTGAAACAACAGTCAATTTCTCATAACTAACTGTTAATATGAAAGTCTTGGTGTTGAAAAATACTTACTATTAAATAAGTTCTGTATTTCAATATTCTCTTGATAACGCTTATTGGATTTAATGCCATTTGCTACTTTCCTGTTATCTCAGTACCTACTTTCTGTGCACCCACCAGAAACTGTGAATTTCATTTTTCTGCATTCTGCTGAAACTGATTTTGGGAGGTGGTTAGGTANTCTAACTGCCTCCCAAAATCAGTTTCAGCAGAAACCAAAAGAAAGAAGAAACTGATTTTGGGAGGTGGTTAGGTAAAGTTAGTTAGGTCAGGTTATGTTAGTTACAAATATCTTTCAATTAACATACCCTGACCTAACCTAACCTAACAAATACTGAATTCACGAGACAAAGAAAAATGGGTACCGAGATAACAGGAAAGTACCAAATTTGAGGACACATTTTCGTATTGTCATGGATGCGTTCAAGGTTCTGGAACCAATTGAAATTATTCCTATATCCTTTCTTTAGGGAAAAGGTGGACAAAATATTTTGCTAAGAAACAGTAACAGATTAAGTTTGTAAACTGAGACCCAATGCATGTGTATTTCAATGTGCAGTATGGGTGGGACCTTGCAATTCAACCTCCTGCAATTTGTTTACTGTCCCACAATTGGACAGTCAAATTGGCAGGGAACATGACTTGCAATTTGACTTGCTTTGGCCATTTTTTCATATTTTTGTGCTGATATATTTCTCAATTTAATTATTTATTGTCTTGCAATTTGACCATTCAACACATTGACCCTATTCCAACAATGGATTATGGTCAAATATGTGAGGTACCAGTGATCACCTGTACCAAGTGCCATTATTCATATGGACACTTATAATATTTCTATATACTGTATACATTCAGTGTTCAAGATGTCTGCATAGACTCCATCCACCCAAGCATCCTGGCCAAGGTCTTGGAATTCATGTACCTAAGACTGGTGTATGTGAGGAAGGTTGTCTGCCTATCATGGGGTTCATCCAGCTGACCAATTGGTCAGGTGTGATGAAATGGCCATCATGGCTGGTAGAAAGGCCAGCATCAAGCGACTTGTTCAATTTTCTGAGTGTCTGAGTGAGTGTATATATATTGGATAATTTAAAACTCACATACAATATTGTATAATTATGTTTTCATAGTATAAAGACATCATATACAGTAGTATGAATGTTCTGTGGAACAAACATTTGTGGTGATGCACTTTTGCACCTTTGTACTATCACTAACAAAATTGGTACAAATGGTACTTTTCAATTCTTTGTCCTGAAATTCAACTGCTGTGCAAATTGAAAATCGAATTTCCTGGGAGGTCAACTTGAAATTTGACCTCTGCCCCACAATTTGACCTGCTGAGAGATCCAAAATGTCAACTTTGATGTAGGGAACATAGCATTTGACATTGTCTCACAATTTGACCACTTCACGATTTGACCTTAGCCCACCCACACATTTGGGTCTAAGTGCAAGGTGGTACCTGTACATTATAAGGAATGCATTTGTTCTTTAGAAGTATTCTGTATATACTGTTATCTAAAGAACACATCTTACAAAAAGCACAGTGCTTGAACACTAATTGTGTTCATTGTATGAGGTATACCAGTGTGGTTTCTTTGAAATAAACTTGGGGTTGGCAGGTGGCAAATGTTTTCTTTCTCACACTCTGCAAAATTTATTCCTGAAGACTGAGTATAATTTTCATCTGCACCAAGTTATACTGGTGATAAGAGGCCCTGTCTTGAAGAAACCATTCTTACAGAGGGTTGAAAACAATTTATAAAATGTATACTGTACATTATTTTTGGCATCAAGGTCTTCAGGATCAGGCTAAACTCTCAATTTTTCATCAAAGCCAGTCTGGTAAATTAGAGTCAAAAAGTTGTATGCAACCATGAAAGCATACTTGTGTTGTGAATGGCTGCTGAAATTAATTCAAATAAAACCAATCATAATTCATCAAAGTTCAATTTTTCATCAAAGCCAGTCTGGTAAATTAGAGTCAAAAAGTTGTATGCAACCATGAAAGCATACTTGTGTTGTGAATGGCTGCTGAAATTAATTCAAATAAAACCAATCATAATTCATCAAAGTTCCATTGGAATAAATGTCATAAATGTTGAAGAACTGGACTCTGCTAAAATTGTTTGACTTCTGTATAGTGGTTCCTGCACAAAGTCAAGTTCTATTCTTTTATTTTAAACATTGTCTTTATTCATTTTAAAGGGTTTATTGCCTTTCAACAGATAGAAGAGGATGCAAAGTCACTGGAGAAGACCTAATCTGCCATTCTTTGAAAGTCAAACCCAAGGCCTCCACACTACTTATTGGCAGACTTTTCAAGGTGACTCTCTCTGACAAACAGGCTGAGAGGGTGAAAGCGAAAGAGCTGTTTTACTGTGGAGAATGTCCCTATTATAGCAGAGATTTGCACAAAGGCATTCGCCATCATTGGATCCACAGACAACAGAGCATAACATGTCCTGTGTGTGGAACGAAGTTCAGGATGCAAAAAACATTGGCACAACACCTGAAGGGCTTCCATGATGAAAATCATGTGGAGAATGTAGAGCTTGAAAGGAAAAACATGATTAACTCTAAAGTGTCATAATATGGTGAATCTCTTGAGCATTTAATTGTCCCCAGTCATGCTTTTATAGTGATGGGAATATACAGGTGGTACCTTGCAATTTGATCTCCTGCAATTCAACCATCCCACCCGCAGTTTGACGGTAAAATTTGCACGGAGGTTGACTTGCAATTTGACTACTGCCCTAGGATTTGACCTGCTTTGGCCACTTTTTTGTTGCATTTTGTGCTGATTTTTCTCAATTTTATTTATTGTCTTACAATTCAACTGTTTTGCAATTTAACCCAAGTCCAGAAACAAAGATTAGGGTCAAATTTCAAGGTGCCACGAGTAGAAGGAAATGGGTGTGCCACTACAGTATTTTGGCAAGTACAATGGATTAAACCATTTCTTCCACATTTCAGGTGATGACCAAAAAGTTGGAAAGAGACTGACTAAAATTTAGCCTCATTAATCAAATTATGGAAGCATCTCATTATTTGAAAGGACATGAACCAGTTCCATCATCACTTTTAATCACAGGTTTGCAAATTGAGGCCATCTCCTTTGTACTTTTTTGCATAACATATTTATTGTATTTTTTCAGATGATGGAAGAGAAGAAAACAGGATTCTCACTTCTGAAGAAGTGTGTTTTAAACCCCTGGTGTTCATCCCAGCATTGAACAGGTCCTCTGTACAAAATAGACAAAAGATCCATTTTGGGTCAAATTCTTTTCAGGTGACCTCTTTGGTTTTCACTGGGACCCTCATCAAGGTTGAGCCTCTGAACATAAATCAGCCAGTGTCTGATAGCATGCAACAACAGCTAAACCAGTTCTTGGTCATGAAGTTCCTCCAAGACTATAATGTGACCCCGCTTGGGTCAAATTCTGAAAATATGAGTTGCATGACCCCTGGTTTTATAGTTCAACTCCCAAACACTGGAGACTTGGAGACTGCTGGTTTCAGCACTGATTTGCCAAAGACTACCTTTGACAATAATGTTGATACTTGTGAAACTTTCAAAAATTTGGCAAATGAATACTCATCATATTCTGCTGCAGCACAAGCATCAATTGCAAATCATTATTTTGAAGAGATCCCACCTGGATACTTGATCAAGGCAAAGAGAGACCAATGGTTGACCAGCAGTAAGCCAACTAAAGGTNATTTTACTTCAGAATTATTTCTGCTTTTCAGAATGACAAATGCTTGTCATGAAACAGCTGATGGTTTCCAGACCTTTTCAGCAATTGTGGTGCAACAAGAAGGTGGTTTAGAGGCTTTGAAGCTGAGGCTTATGAACATGACAGAAAAAGAGCTCATGAGGACGGTTTTGAACATGAAAGTAGTTAAAAGAACAAGGGTCTTTGATGAAAAGGCTGCTGTGGTGCAATTGCTGAAAGTGAAGAAGGCAAAAGTGTCAATCAGGGTAATAATCACTGACTCATGCCTTTAATAATTTTGTTTCTTAAAAGGGAAAAGTACTGTAGTGGCACTTTCCTGTTATCTCAGTACCTCATTCCTAGACCGCACTACCATCCAGAAAAATCTTTAGAACGAGTTCAAAATCACAATGACCTGCCAGAAACTGTGAATTTTATTTTTCCGCATTCTGCTGAAACTGATTTTGGGAGGCGGTTAGGTAAAGTCAGGTTAGGTCAGGTTATGTTAGTTACAAATATGTTTTAACTAACATAACCTGTCCTAACATAACTTTACGTAACCCCCTCCCAAAATCAGTTTCAGCAGAAACCCAAAGAAAGCAGAAACTGATTTTGAGAGGCAGTTAGGTGAAGTTAGGTTAGGTCAGGTTAAATAGGTCAGAGGGAAGGTACAGAGATAACAGGAAAGTAGGTACTGAGATAACAGGAAAGTACCGTAGTTTTCACCTTCTATATATACGCATACCATCAATATTTTTGAATTTTACATTTCAGATCAGAAGTTCTGCTTTCCATCCTGGACATCTTTTTATGAGCTCCAACTGTGCAAAAGAGATCAAGAATTTTATTTCGGGTCCATTTGCAATTATTGTAAAAAAGCATATGCTAAAATCATGAAAATTTTCTTTCTTAAATTGTACAAGGCAACAAATCTGTAAAAAATCTCTAAAATATAAAACAAATGAATCTATAAATTGTACAGAACATTGTCAGTCCACAGAGCATTTTATGAAAATATGCCAGCTCACAAAGGATTTTATTAAAATTTGCTGATCAGCAAGCCAAAAAAAAAAAAAGTTGGTGAACTCTGCTCTATATAACACCACATATCAAGAGAAAATCTGACAATAAGATGATGTTAACTTCAAATAACACACTGTTTCATTATTTTCCAGGTGGCCTTGGATGCACTTCATCAAGGAAGACCCAGAACTGCCCTCAAATACCTCAACTGTGCAATCAAAGAAGCTGATGAGAATTCTGAAGAGTTATTTCAAGCCAAAAAGTACAGAGCAGAAGTTCTCTACAACCATTGCTATCATGCAGAGGCCCTTCAGGACTTGGAGGACTGTTTATCAGCAAAGGCCTTGACAGAAATGTGATGACATGAATAACTTACCTTGTTTTTTAGTTGCCAAGTTTTTATAGCTGTAACCATCACATCAGGGAACTTTTGGTGGGACTTGACTTGAAAGCAAGGTGTTTGGAGAACTTGGGAAAGTTGGCAGAGTCTAGAAAGTGTTTCATGTTGGCCAAGAAAGCTGGGTTTCCTGAGGGTGTCCACCAAGGGGTCAAGGACATTCTGGAACAGGACTGGAATCTTCATATCAGTTGTCTTGACACTTGCTGCTGTCTGCATCCAAAGTCTGATTGGGAGGAATTCTCACCAGGATTTCAAGTGTCTTCTCTGATGGCAGGTGAGAAAATATTTCTTGCTTCCATACAAAATTGTGGTACTTTCCTGTTATCTCTGTACCTTCCCTCTGACCAATTTAACCTGACCTAACCTAACTTCACCTAACCACCTCCCAAAATCAGTTTCTGCTTTCTTTGGGTTTCTGCTGAAACTGATTTTGGGAGGCAATTAGGTAAAGTTAGGTTAGGTCAGGTTATGTTAATTAAAATATTTTTGTAACTAACATAACCTGACCTAACCTAACTTTACTTAACCACCTCCCAAAATCAGTTTCAGCAGAATGCGGAAAAATAAAATTCAGTTTCTGGTAGGTTATTGTGATTATGAACTCGTCCTAAAGATTTGTCATGGATGGTAGTGTGGTCTATAGGAATGAGGTACAGAGATAGCAGGAAAGTACCAAAATTGTAAACACATATATATCAAGCATATTTCCACAAGATGATTAATTAAACAACTGAGAAAAATAGTCTTATCAATATCTGTAATTAGTATGAAGGTGTAACATTTATTATTCCAGATGGTGTGAACAGGTTTGTTCCAACTGCTGCAAAATGCCTGGAGCTGCAAAGTTCTGAAAAGTATGGAAGAGGGTTCATTGCCAAGGATGACTTGCCACCAGGCACAATTCTCATCAGTGAACGGCCATTTGCAAGAGCTCTGAGTCACTCTGCAGCTGACAGCCACTGCAATTACTGCTTAACTTACTGCAGGTGATGTTTAAAATGGCTGAAATGCACTTATGTACTGCAGAATGGTATTTACAAAGAAGTTAAGTTAAAATTTAATTATTCTTTCAACCATTGAAAACCTGTGTCATTAACTTGAAGTCTTTTAAAGCTTAGGATTTTTAAAGGGTCCAAAAATGTACTTTCACTATAGCATAATATCTTTCGATTTTCACACCTGTGCTGTTTGGAATGTAATTTGAAGTATGAGTTACTTTTTTCCACAAGTTGTTTTCAACTATTGTGGCTCATACTTGAGAAAGGCAATATATTAGTTTCTGTGTCCAATAAGAAGGGATGACACAATCAAACTCTTTTGTGTCAACATATATGCAGTTTCCCAATGCCATGCTACAAGTGCAAGTCAGCAGTGTTTTGCTCAGCCAAGTGCCAGGACATGGCAAATGACTCATACCACTTGAAATATGAGTGTGAGTCCATGGCAGCAATTCTGGACAAGCTGGAGATCCAAGAAGGTCTGGTGCCAAGGGTTGTCTATAGACTGTTTGCCCAAAGAACAAAGACCTACTTTACCTCAAGAAGACAGTTGCTGGATGAGGCTCTAAAGGCTGGTTGGAAACCAGCTGGAACTACTCATAATCAACTCTTTGATGCCCAAGAAGTGCTGAGCACTTTGGAACTCTTCAGACATCCAGTTGACCCTCAAAAGGCTGCCTATGAAGCTCTGTTGTCTGTATGAACATTCTTTCCTACTGAAATTCACTTTTAGAAACCCATGATTAATTCAATCCTCCTCTATATTTTTCAAAATTTCAATCATGTTATCCTAAACACATTCCTGATATGATTCAGGTTGTCCTCAGATCCTTTTTCTTGATGAGTAAGGTTTCTGAGCATATTTTTCCTTGTTTTGTTTCTCTCTCCTGCATTATTGCCTCATGTTAAACTGATAACATCTCTTTTTATATGTTCCCCTATAGACTGACAATAGTGAAAAGTGGGAATGACTTGCAATAACCCCAGTGATGTGTAGTTATACTTTTGTAAAAATAATTTTTTCAAAGGACATGTTTCAATAAATACAGATACAGTTGTAATCAAGAATTTCCTTAAGCCCTCAAAGTTTATGCATTACAAACATTATGTATTCTTTAAAACTGATCTAAAGTCCAATGACAATTGTTCTCAGAGTCCTGCATTATTCAGTAAACCTTGAAATATACTTTTTGTCTGAAATTATGGTGTACCTGCAAAAAAGTACTGTAAGTGTATACTGTACAGGTGGTACCTTGCAATTTGATCTTATGAAATTTGTACATCTCACAATTTGACAGTTGAATTTGCTGGAAGGTCAACTCTCAATTCAATGTGCCATGCAATTTGACCTGCAGAGAGACATGAAACATCAAATTCCATGTAGAAAACATGCCATTTGACATTGATTTGCAATTAGACCACTTTGTAATTTGACCCAAGTCCAGCAACAGATTAGGGTTGAATTGCAAAGTACCATTGATATTTAAAATTCAACCACCCCAAAATTTGATGATTGAATTTGCCAGGAGAATGACTTGCAATTTGACCTCTGCCCAGCAATTTGACTCTCATATATAAATGCTAAATGAATGTCAAATAGGATGTAGAAAACATTGCATTTGACTGCTTCAGCAATTCAATGCACCCCACTCTAGCAATGGATTAGGGTCAAATTGTGGTGCACCACCTGCAAAAACATCTTTATTTTCTCACAAATCTGAAGAAAATTAACAAGTACATCCAATTTTACTATGGATTTCTTAAACAGTCATCCCAGAAGTACTGATTTACTTTAAATACATTAAAAAAATGAAAGTTTCACTGCTCTGGTCATCAGTAACCACAGACAAAAGAATGAGTAATTATTCTCAAGTGTCCCACTATATACAGGTGTACATAGTCAAGTTGCTGAAGGGCTGTGGTTATTTTGGCTCTGTGACCCCAGCCACCACAGAGCTCACATCAAAGGACCAGCAGTCAGATGCTGACATCCTGCTGATTTCCAGACTTGTCCTACACTATGTGCGACATCTGAAAACACAGACCTTCACTGTATCCAGTGTGGTTGTGCCATGTTCAGGATATGAGTCTCCCCAGGGCTCTCAAGTGGTGGGACTGGCCATGTGTCCCACCATCAGTTTCCTCAACCATTCATGTGTGCCTAATGCTTGTGTGGTGGGGGCCATGGATGAGGACAAGTTGGTGGTGGTGGCCATGAAAGGAATTGCCAAGGGGGAGCAAGTGCTGATGGGTTATGGGGCTGCAGGCAGTGCACAAAACACTCCTTTTCCTCAAAGGTTGTATATATATATATACATATACCGTATTTACTCGAGTTGTAAATATATATACATATACAGTATTTACTCAAGTACCACGTGCACCTTTTTTCCCAAATTTCAGAAGAAAAAAAGGGGTGCGCATCATAAGCAGGTACAAAATTTTCAAGAAGTTTTATAGGAAGTTATGTTTGCATTATACTTAATTATAATGGAGAAATGTGGAACAAATATAACAAGAAAACATTTTTGTATTGAAAAAATTGAAAATTCATCAGATCTTTGTTCAATTCACGCCAAAAGTCAAATTTTTTTGTTTTTATTTTTGAAATTTTATGGTTTCAGATTCACTAAAAATTGGGGTGCGCGTCTTACTTGGGGATAAGATTTTTGCAAAATTTTCAACTGAAAAACCCCTGTGCACGCCTTACTCAAGGGCGCATGGTACTCAAGTAAATACGGTATACATAGTCATTCATTATTATTCTGCTAATGATGTTTCTCCAATCATCAGAAATCTGTCACACTTGAGAATGAACAGTGTTTATTTACACAATAAGTGAACCCTCAATATTAAGGGCCTTTCCACTTATAGTATCACAGTAATAAATCCTTCTTGTGATAGATTGAAAATGTGCTAGAAATAAAGAAATTGAGGCATTTTAAAGGAATTACATATGGTGATTACTGAGAATTACATTCCCTACTCATATAAATTCAAGATAATACTGTATTAAACTTTCTGTTCCTGAATTTCCATTGTTGAAAAATATTTAGGTTGTTGCCTGGCACCTCTTCCTTTGTATGAAATCTGATCAAGATAAAGTGAGAGCTTTTCTTGACAGATTGGCAATTCCTGCATGATGGAACCTAATACAAAATTTAAACATACCTTGAAAAACAGCTGTGATCTTTCACTGTACTCAATATGTGTGATAAAATCTAATACAGTTTAAAGTCAAATTCGGAATGACAAACAATTTGAATCACACAATAAGAGACTCATAAAATAAACATCATCATTTTCCACAGGATGTCCTGCTTGCAGAAGGAATGGAGATTCACCTGCTCTTGCCCAGCATGTTCAAACCAATGGCCAACCATAAACTCTTTGCCAGACACAATGACCCTCATTTGCCCCCAATGTTCTCAAAAGAACTCTTGCTTGAGCCAGCAAAAATGCTGTGTGTCATGCAATCAAAGCCTCACTGAAGCCAAGAACATTTGCAGGAACCTGAAGCAATTGACCAACACAGAGCATCTCAATTACAAATCCTTGCTGAGTGTCCTCCATGAACTCATCAGGGAAGTTGATCTTGCTGAAGCCCTGGTTCAGCAACCCTGCAAGGTCTTCTGGAAAGGGGTCTTCTTGATTGGTTATCTGTTTCTCCTTGGCTCTAGGAATGTCTTCCTGGAGCGGATGGAGGAGAAATCCAAGCAGTTGAGTCTTTACTCATGCAAAGATGTCGCTCCCTCCCACAAAATATGCCAAAAATTATGTTACATCACACTTTTGGGACTATATAGAGCAACAATTTGCTAGACTGAATAGTTTTCTGTAATGAGATTTTCAAAATTTATGACCAGAAAAAGGTTTCATGTCATACCAGAATTTCTGGCATTCTCAGATTTTTCATCATTGTTTGAAAATTCAACAGTGATCTTTATTCTGTAGAAAATTAGCTCAGGATGTGCCTCCCTACAGTCAGGAAATTTCTACCTGCAGAAACATTGGTAAAAAAAGTTTCTTTCAAGACCAGAATTGAAAATTTCATTGCAAAAATAGTTTTAAGATGCTGTGCAGTATTCTCTATTGGCTTTCTGTCAAGACTTTAGAAAAATCATTTGATTTCACCCATAAATGTGAGATGTTACTGTGTACTTTTTGCAGGGTTCTCAACTTTCCCAGCTTCATATTCCCTGTTGAAATGTGGAAACCCCCAGAGAAATCTGTCCTGAAGGCCTGGAAAAGCTCTTTGACTTTAATCCAACCTCCATTTTATGAACTTGAAAAGGACCTCATTGACACCAGCAACAAGGATGATGAAGAAGACAGCAACAATACCTTGAAGAGGATTGCTTATTGCACTTTGAGCTCCAGCAGTACAGACTCTGAATTGGATGATGATGAGCCAGTTATTGAGTGATAATAAAAATAAGGGTCATCACAATAATGCTGACAATATATTAAAAAGCGATTTTATTTTCTTTGTGCATGGTTTTAAATTTGTCTCTCTTTTTTTCCAGCAGCAGCAAAAAAAAAACACAAGACACAAAGTAGAATAACAAAGTATAAGTCCTGCTGTGTGGATGATGCAAAAACTTGGTTTGTATCACAGTTGGAAGAGCATCACCAGCAGGGGAAATGTCTGATGAGATGCCTTCCTGGTGATTGATGCTGCAAAAGAGCAGATGTGATGATATGATGCCATTTATATTCATATAAAAGGAATCTTAATTTTGGTGCAGCAGCTGGTTATTCATCCTCATGATGATGATGAGATCTCTTTGCTCTCCAGCAAGGCAAGAATAATGAGGAAATGTTTTTTTGCAGCAAAAGAAAAAAAAAAGATTTGATTTTCATCATTTATATAAAAAAAAGCTTGCTGAATTTGTCTGCAAAAAGAAAAAAGAAAGAAGAAATATTCAGCTCCACATGCCACACTTGTGGCCTGGGTCCATGTAGTCGCCGGGTTTGCACTGAAATGCCTCTGCAAAGCCCCTAATGTTTTGAATGGGCCCAATGGTCCTGAATTTCCCTGGGCTGTGGTCGTCTTTGTTGAGGGACGTTTCCACGGACTCGGTGGCCTTGACTTCGCACCAGACTTGGCCATAGGCCGTGAAGAAAAGCTGCTCGTTGGTCAGGCCCAGGCCAGGCAGGGCCTCTTCTGGCCCATCCCGCGTGTCCAGGTGCCGCCTGTAGGCTGTCCACGCGTGGTCCAGGCCCAGCACGTCGCAGATGTTCTCACTGAGAGTCAGGTTCCCATCCACCTTGGAATTGATGGACACACCAGCAATTATTACAAAAATAGCTACTGTATACTAGCTGTACTGGACAAATATAATTCATGTTTATGTGTGTATATACAGTATAGGGATTAGGGGGTAGGGTTGGGGAGATAAATTAATATATTGTCATCATAACATTAGTGAGTCCTCAAGCAGGTTAATAATACCCTGTTCTCAAACTGAGTTTCATGCGTTGAAGTTCCGCATAGCAACGCACTGGAATTGGCATACCGGAACGTTGCAACAGTGTCTGGCAACTGCTCATTCACATGCTCTGGTCTACTTTCTGTTTATTCCTATTCACGCATGGCCAGTCACCTGTCTTGTGCATCCAAAGTCTATAAAGGAGTGTCCAAACACTCCTTCTGTGCTCATTGCTGGTCTGGACTGTTGTTGCGCACAATACAAAATATACGTTATTGGAATAAGAGAAGTTGTCTCACTCGCTTTACTCCGGCCATAAAGACTAACACTTCTTGACAAGAGATTGTCTCAACAGAAATCATTGAATAAAGGTTTAAAGCGCTACTAAGCATAGAAGACAATCTTGCGTAGTCTTGAAGCTTTTGTTAACATCCAACAGTTTGGGATAATAATTTATACATGTGAATATTCACAATTTGAATAAATTGGTACAATTTAAAGGATTTATACAATTTTAATGAATTTATACAATTTTAATGAATATATACAATTTTAATAAATGTATAAAATTTCAATGAATTTTTACTATTTTAATGGCTGTACAATTTTAATAATTCATGGAATTTTTTTTACATTTATCATACAATTTTAATACATTTATGTTATGTCAATAAATCTCTAATATTGCAATAACTTCTTACAATATTAATGAATTTATACAATTTTAATGAATTCATACAATTTTAGTAATTTATACAATATAAATAACTTTGATATCAGCAAGGTAGTGACAGAACTCTTGAACCATCATCCTCTGTATATAAGCATCATGGTTCCTTTCATCAGCTCACATGGTCAGAAGTCCCAGGGATCCTGAACTGATTGTACTGCTTGATGAGGCAAAATGCCTTGCCTCTGTAAACTGCCTCCACTTCAGGGTCCCACTTGAGCCCCAGGGTTCCACTGGGATCATATCTCCTTCCTGTGAGGCATACAAATCCACTTTGGGTCTAAAAGTACGATAAGGTTTTGAGGAAAATATATGGACACTACAGTTTGGGTACGGGTTAGAGTACACGGTGGTCCTTAGGTCACCAACGTATAGACTACATGGAAGTTTTATATTATAGCCAAAGCATTCTAAAAATTGATCTTCTGCAAAGAAGACCAGCAATGAGTCAGGGAATATTATTTTGCTTACATTGGCAGGTCTGAGTGCACAATTGGCTCTTGGAGGATTCCCAGAGGGAAAACTGAGGAATAAACATTCATTTTGTTTATTTTCTTTCTTTTTTCATACTTTAACATGTATATGTACTCACTGATTTCATTTGCAAATGGGTTGTGGAAGGCATTCACCAACAAAGTGGGCACAGGCCAGTCTCTGGAAATTTGGAAAATTAAATTTTTTTGATGGCCTCATAATTGTAAACAATAAATATTCAACCTCTTTTTGTCAACATTCCTCAGCAACTTCTGCAGGTCATTTTCTGTCTGGAAAGCCATCAGTTTGAGACTGTTGAAGAAGAAATGCTTGTTGCTGCTCACTATAATTGTAAACAATAAATATTCAACCTCTTTTTGTCAACATTCCTCAGCAACTTCTGCAGGTCATTTTCTGTCTGGAAAGCCATCAGTTTGAGACTGTTGAAGAAGAAATGCTTGTTGCTGCTCACATTCACCTGCAAATGAAAATCAAATTATCATTTCTTAAATTAAAATTGTGTGTTTCTCCCAACAAACAAAAAAAAACCACACACCTTGTCATAGTATTCATCCAAGAACTTGGGACTTTTGATATTCTCATCAAACCCCACTTTGCTTGTCATATTCTGCACCTGTCAAATAAAATGTAAACATAGCATTTCAGGAAAGGGCTGGGATATTTATAGATGGCGCTGTTGTGAACCTTTTCCTTGCACTTGTCCCTAGTTGAAGCTGACATCCACAACTGGGACTCAATTTTCTCCAGAAACAGGCTCTTCATCTCATTGATGAAATCCAAGACCTGTTTAAAAATTATTATTTTTTTTCAAATGTGGTCATGATGGAATGATTGATCCATTGAAAAGCAGCAGCTGTGAAGTACGAACAAAACTCCTAACATTCGGAACGCCAGGAACTACATGTTTATTGGACGGTGGTCCAGTTTCGGTAGACAGTGGTACCGGTGTGTGAGGGAGGTTGACAGTATTTTGGTATTGACCAGTATTAGTATGCAACCATATGCATATACATAGGGAGAATTTGTTTTTCCTGTGTATACAGGGAAGAAGTACCTGGAATCATAGACCTTTTCATTGTGGCCCTTGGTGCCAGGGATCTGCCTTCTGATGTCTTTCCAGATCTGGTGGAACCTGGGTCCCATGGAGGGCAGGAATTGAAGGGCCAGTCTCCATACCACATAATCAGCCAGGACTCTTGTGCATGAAGAAAAGATACATCAAAAGGGTCTGTCATTTAAATGTACAGTACCTGATTTTCACACCACCAGTATATATATAAGCAACTGTTTCATCATTATAAGTAAAAAATATGAAGATACAGTACAGCTGAAAGGTAAGCAAAAGGCTATATTTGACAAAAATATGCATTTCTTTGAAAACTGTGCTTTAAAAAATGGTGTCAAGGTCACCAAATATGTGACATAAACTTTAAAAATAGTCATGGTTTACATTTTTGGACACCAAGCATGCCAACAGAAGTTATTTCATCATTTGTCTGTAATTGATACAAAATGTGTACATTTGTGAAGAATATAGAAAGTTGAATTCTGTAATAAAATTTAAAAAAAAACCATTTTTAAAATGCCATGTCCTACACTGTATCTTGTTCTTGATCTCAGAAACAGTTTTCTGGGGCATATCCCAAAAGGCCATTACTTCAAGTCATTGATGCCAGCACAGCAGCTTTGAAACCATCCCTCATTTGAAAAATGGTTGGTTGATTATTCATGGGATTTTAGAGATCTAAAAATGTAAGAAATTTGTAGTGCTATCCAATAAAGAGACCTTTCAGAAGTGGATGCAAGTAGGGTGCCCAGTTCCAGGAAATAGGCTTTGCAGTTCAGACCAATCACCATGGATTTCACATCAATTGTGGAGCCCACAATCCCAAGCTGCTTGCTCAGCATGATTTCCCAGTTTATCTGCAAAAATGTAATTCTGCACTGACTATATGTGGGATTTATAATTTAAATACACCTTGTATTGGAGTTTTATGAAACTGTCTTTTGATTATCTCTTCATGCCCATCTTATGATGGAAGATGAATACAGTGTATCAATTTCTTAGACTTTGTTCTGCATTAACATGACAACAATTTAGGTAGAGGTTATTTTCAACTGATTTAAAATTAATATGACTGACTCCTTAGAGAAAGGCTGGTTCTGCTTCTTAAAAAAAAAGAAAAATACACATTTTTTGTGCTATGAAGTATGAATGGAAATGAAACCATCTAAAAGTGCCATCATATATTCTTGAATTCCAGTAAAGATTATTACACTTTTCTCCACACAACAGTAAAATTGCAACATGACTCCAAATACTCTCTCTGATTACTTTGTGTGTGGACACATATTAAAAAAAAAGTCATGATTGAGTACCTTTGGCAGCAGAGCACTAATTTCAGCCAATGACATGAGATTCAATTCTTGCTCCACAGAGTCATTTCCTGTGGTGTAGTGACAGTCAACTTTTTCCATGATCTGAAACACATGATTCAAGAAAAAGGAGTAAGAAAAGGGCCATATTTGACTCATGAACACTTTCAACTTATTGAAAGAGGTGCTCCAACATCTATACAAAGCCTGAAAAAACCATAATTAGCCAAAATTAGCTGAGGAATTGGTTTTTGAAAGGTTTTCATAATGTCCACCATGGAATAACTTTACATAAGGACTAGACAACAGTTTGATCCCAGTTTAACGTTTAGTCAGTTTAACACTCTGGAAAGTACTTTAATTTTTTATATTAATACTTTACGTTTTTCTTCATGCCAAAGCAGATCAAATTGCAGGGCAAGGGTTGAATTGCAAGTCAATCTCCCTGCAAAATTTTTTGTGGAATTGCGGGAGGTCAAATTGCAAGGTACCACCTGAATGGCAGTAATGTTTTTAAGGTTGCATCTATCTTGTTCATTGCCCTTCAAGCTTACTATTCCTATTCTTTTTTTTTCAAAGCAATAGGACAGACATTTTTCATTGAGTTTTGAATGACTTTGATTTCAGAATATTTCCTGCACACACATCAAAGAAAAGCTCATGCACTGCATGACCAAGCAACTTTTTAACCTTTGTGGGACAACTTTTGCAGTGCAAAATCCTGCTACAAAATTGGATTTGGTCAGGGGCAAGTTTGATGCATCTGGCTCAATCCCAGGGTGTTCCTGGCAAGTAAAAATTCTTTTTTTTTCTTTTCATGTATATAGAATAATTTTACTGTGTATAATTAACAAGAGTGCATATATACTGTATGTCTCATCCAGAAATAAATATACCTCAGCCAGCTTCTTCTCAAACTCGACTATTTGCGAAACCCCTGCCCTGAGTTTCTCTCTGTGGGGCTCAAGAAAGTCGCTGTTGTCATCCTTGCTAAGCATGGCTGCCGTCTTAGTCAGGTATCCTTTGTAGAGATTCACGTATTTCGTGGCATCCGGATCAGATCCGTCTTTGCACAAGTAGCCAGGGTCAATCCCTGTTCTGCCCTTGTAAATCTGCAGCAACAACAACAACAACAAGAATAAGGAAAATAATCCTGCTTCTTTCTATATACAAGTGAGACCCCCCACATGCGGACGCCTCAACCTGCAGACAATTCAACATAAGGACACTTATTTTCCCAGAAAAAATCAATAAATTAGGCCCAACATGAGGACACTGACTCAACATAAGGACATTTTGTGATAAAATTGCAAATACCGTATTTACTCAAATACCCCCGTGCCCTTGAGTAATAAGGCGCGCACAGGGGTTTTTCATTTCAAAATTTGGCTAAAATTGTATCCCCAAGTAAGACGCGCAGTGCATTTTTAGTGACTCTAAAACCAAAAAATTTCAAAAGTAAAAACCAAAAATTTGATTTTGGATGTGAATTGAACATGAATCGTCTGATCAATTTTCAAAATTTTCAGTAAAAAAACGTTTTCTTGGTAAATTTTTCACAAATTTCCCCATTATAATCAAGTATAATTAACCCACAACTTCCAAAAACTTCTTGAAAATTTTGTACCTGCTTATGACGCGCGCCCCTTTTTTCTTTTGAAATTTGAGAAAAAAGGTGCGCGTGCTGGTACTCGAGTAAATATGGTACATATACAGCCTAATTACAAGAAGATATCTCCAACCCTAAAATTGATGTAAGAAATGTTCTTGGGCATTTCTCTCACCAAATTACCATCCATTCAGCTAATTAAAAAATTACCTCCAGCGTAGAGGGACTTCTACATTTTTTTTTACTTGAATGTTATTTTTGTGGAGGCCAAAATTTCAGTGTACAGTACAAAGATATACACTTATTCAATGCTCCAAATGTTCTCATTGAGTTGAACATGTATTCACTAATTCTAATTCAAGTGGCAAACAATTTTTTTCAGGGAATTCTGAAGAATTTTTCTTCCACAAAACATCAATAAAAAATTATATAATGTAACTCTATGCTGGGAAAACAAGACTCAACTTAGGGACATTTTGACTTTGGGACACTCTTGATGCACCAATTACGTCCGCATCTCAGGGTCTCACTGTTTATATAGAAAGTCATCTGAAAATGATATGACACACACCTGCCAAAAGTAAGTGGAGCTGTTTTTCTCATCAGGCACCACATACACGTCAAACAAGGTGAACACGTGGTAAGTGAGTGTCCTGGCAAGCATTTCTTCAAAGCGCATTAGACAGCGAAAGGTCTCGAAGCTCAGGTCGTCCCCGGTCCAAAGGTCTTTCTTAAAGACGTGCGAAAGCAGGTGAAAGAGTAAGTCTCTAAACCGCGGAGTTCACCCCCACACCTTTTTTTATTATTATAGAGATTACATGAATCACTCAGACAAAAGCCAAGAGAGAGAGAGAGAGAGAAAAAAAGAAAAATGTATGGATACCCTGTCACAATTCCCTTGTGGGGGTAAGAATAATGAAAGGGTTCTCCTCTGGAAAGTACAGCCTGCTGCTGCTTCTTATTATACCCCTGGAAAGGGGTTTTCTAGCAGTTATCATCTATACCACACACACCAAAGGCACAGCATCTCTTCATCATGAATTCTCACATTTGCCCCCTCCAAAAGAATTCAACACTTTAGTATGAAAAATATAATTAAAGGACTCACCCTCTTTATAAAAAAAACTACTGCAAATTTTCTATAGGAAATAGAATGGAACACATTCATCTTTCAATGCAGCTGAGGAGGATATTATTGTGTCTGATGGAAATAAAAATAAATCTCGCTTGTCCCAATGCATAAATTCTAGAAAGTCTGGGTACTTGAGTCAGAAGCAGGGCAAACTTTTCCTTGTTTCTTTCCAGAATCATCCATTGTTGCCAGCAGGACTCTCACCATAAATCACAAGTCATTGTAAATTCTTTCCTCACCCACAGACCTTACGAACTCCAATATAGGACCTCTCTTCAAAATAGTTACGAACGGTCCTATTCAAAAGATCTTCCCTATAGATCTTTTGGGGTCACGAATAGTGTGAAACATATATAGGAACACAGAATGGCATCATTGGTGTAATAGTGGAGAAGCGTTTGCTTGGCAGCTCTCCAGAGTGGGGGGTCTGCAAAGAACTATAACCTCCTTGTCTCTTTAATTTTTTTGGAACTTTGCAGATGACACTTGTGGAAAAGGGATTCGTCTTGCGGCAAGTGAGGCTTTTCACACTTGTCAGACTGGAATAAAAACGTTTTATCTTCTCTCTCACTATTTTTTTTATTGAGATGCAGTGACTTCATATTTTGGTCTTGTCAGAAAAAAAAGAACACTTGTCAGAGACTCTATGTTGTGTGATTTCAACACTTACACAACAAGTACGTCCTGAACATCTTCAAGAACCGAAAGTGGTGTCGACAACTTAGTGAACGACTGTAACCGAGAAGTTAGAAAAGACAAAACTCTTCCACTTTCCTTTTTATTATTTACTTAATAGTTTCAACATTCAATTTGTTTTGGATAAAGAAAGAACTGAAACTTCCTGACTTATGAGAACTAGCCTCAATAAAAATACTCACTTGTGTTTTAAAAAACTCAATTTAAAATGTATGTTCAAATTAAAAGAAAATCAAAGAAATGAATTGTCAATGAACAATATTATTTTTTTTAAATAACTATGAAACTCCGTCATTTGAGCACCAGCCCCCAAAAAAACATTCACATTTATGTTCAAGCACAGACATTTTAAGATGTATTGAAATGTAAATATTCAAAAAAAATTTAGTTGCTTTCTGCACTAATGTCTATAATGGGTTTTATTTTACCATGATTATTTAATTGAATTTTCAGTCATTCATGGCGCATACATATGGCATACAGAGTAACAATTGTACATGAATTTCAATAAATCTAAAATCAAATTGGGAATATTATTGAAGATACATTATTAGGTTTTTTGAAACTTATGTTTAAGACAATGCATACTTCATATGTATTCATAAAATGTAAGGCATTGAAATAATGAGTAATATTTAGTGGGCTTTTCGACTTTGTTCCAATTTTAATAAATACTGGACAAAAATTTACATCTAACATTCAAAGGCTGTGCAGTTATTTTCCATTGTATTACAGTATATCCTATATTTAAAATGCTTCCATCATTATTTCTACAGTATATATTACAGTATAGATTACTTTATTATAATCCTTTTTCATTCTAAAATCTTTTTAAAAAATAACTCCATTACTGTTCTATATAATACCTTTGGAAAAGCACCTGCAGCGAAATGTTTCCATCATAATCATAAACCCAGTAAACAAATCCTGACTTGTTTTTCTTAACTTTGCGTAAGGAAAACGGTTCCAAATTGAACAAAAAGACTTCAAGGGCTTTGTATACATGTACTGTATAGACTAGTGTACCTTCAGCAGTACTTGTCCTAATTTCTCCTCTGTTGGTACTTCCTCTGTGGGTCAAATGAAGATTTGAAAGGATTTTCCAGGGATCTAAATAAACAAGTATCACCTCAATAACAAAGAAACTTTTCAGTTGAATGACAAAAGGCCACCATCCTGCCAATGATAGAAGTTTGAGAGTATAAAATGAATAAATAAAAAATAAGTACAGTAAAATTCCACTACAGCAAGAAAGAAAATTCTCAATATTGTACAATTTGTTTTCTTGGTCCCAGCAATTTCTCCATTTAGAGATGAAGTCCTCCTGTCTGAGCTCACTTGGGAACAATAATGCATTAAAAACCTTCCTAATTCAAAGGACTTCTTCTAAAATCTTTCTAACTCACATTTTCTGAGTTTTTTTTCTTTCATTCTCCTTACACAAGACAGAGGACATACAGTAGTATCTTGATGTGTTTTGAAAGGAAGTGAAAGGATAATTGGCCAAATGAATCTTGCCTCCAAGTCCGTTGTCATCTTCTTTTCAACTCATCCAAGAAGCAATTTAAGACCCAGAATATCACCAATTACAATTTCCCGCAAATTTTCTGTGATTTCCACAACAAAAATTGTTGCTTCCCAAACTCAAAATCTTCTTGATAGCAGGTATTTTTTGCTGGTCCCTTGAAATTCAATTTAGAGAGGTTGACTGTACAGTCAACCCCCGTCTAATGGACTTGATTCATGCATGGGACAAGTCTGTTAGACAAAAAGTCCTTTACACGAATTCAATTACATAATTGTTTGGTGAAAATCCCTTACACGGGAGGTCTGTTAGGCGGGGGGCCACTGTATATGTTGGGGACTGCAGTGCAAGGCAATAAGTTGATATATTATATAATCCTGGGGCATCACATCCTGCAAAAACTGGTCATTTGGTCCAAGGGCCTCAGAAAAAAAAAGTCCCGAAGGACTTGAATGACAATGCACAGAATCATCCTTGACTTCAAGGAGAACAACTTTCCTCCTTCCTCCTAAAAGTGAACTACAAGAACACATTCCACTGCCGATTCACAAACTAATCAGAGTTGAAAACCTTGCATTGATTATTCCTGAAAGACTTCGTGTGATTACCTTGTGCGTATGTGATCATGTTCTTTGAAATTCACTGAGTTGAGATTGTGACACTGAAAAACCAAATGCTTTTTTGACCCTATGTATAACTTCTGTGCATCAAAGTTGGGATATTTTTGCAAACTTTTGTGCCACTGTCCAAGAAAGCTTTTTGCATCTTGAGGCCAGTGAGCCTCACCAAGATCCTGTTTTTGAAATATTCACTGAGCCTCACCCAAGGCCAACAAGTGGTCATCACTTCTGTGATTTTCCCTAAATTTTCCAATCCTGAGCCAGGAATGAATCCCTTAATTTCTTCCTGACCCAGTCTGAGCACCTGGGTATATAAAGGCCTTCATTCCTCTTTGAGAGAAGAAGTGAGAATTTTGCGTGAAAGGGCCTTTCAACTTAAATCATCTTATTCATTCTTCTGAGTTCACCAACTTACAATTGACTCTGCCATTCCAAACAACCATTTCATTAACAGCCAAATGAGAATCTGGACAACAAGAATAAACTCCTCTGAAAAGAGTTTGAGTTCTTATTCAAAACTTGCATTCTGATGACTGCACAATTCAAGGCCTTTGTCTGGGATCCAATGGACCCATGACAATTGCAGGGCAAGAGGTCAAATTGAAAGTTAATGACCCAGCAAAATTTTACCGTCAAATTGCGGGATGGTTGAATTGATGGATGTCAAATTGTAAGGTACCACTATAGCTGCCTGATTGGGGAATTTGGTGCACACTGTGGAGATGTTTGTAATTCTACACAAGTGACCCTGTTGTGCACCTGAAGTGTACCAAAGTTCTTCTGTTGCACGTGCATATCCCTAATGTGCACCAATTGTGTGTTCACACCAGCAGGATTACTCAGGGTAACATTTTTAAACATATAAGTTACACCAAGGTTACAGTTGGTACATTTGCGTGATACTCGTGTTATGTCACATTTGCACACCAAATGTAGCCCTGGAATGGTAGCAAAATTTTTGTCTACAGAGGTGCATGCTTGTAACCCCAGAATAGCCCATGCTGTACACCAATTGTGACCCCAGTGTGCATCATTTGTGGGGTCACAGAAATAATAGCTCCCCACTTGGGTTATGCATACAAAAGTGGTGAAGACAAATAAAATGTTTCCATTAGGTTTATAAGTGAGTGAGTGAGTGAGGTCAGTCAGGGTGATATATGACCTATATATTACATACAGGTCTCTCACTTTTGATGACTGTGCTCAGCCTGAGATTCATCTCTTGCAGCACGTGTCTCTGGTCCTGGTCGTGGTTGAGGAAATTGTCCTCCAAATAACTGCCGCAGGCGAAGGCGTAAAAGTCCTGACAGGGGTCCTTGGACTGGTCGATCCTGGCCAGCATCCTAGCTGATGCCCGCACGCAGGAATGGGTCTGGCACACCCGGGGTTCCGGGGCTGCTGCCGGTGATGGGTTCCAGGTGGCTGACATCAACCTGCCTGATGCATGCATATATACCGCATATACAAAGGGATAACAGTTTATATACAGGGGTGGGCATTCTCTTTTTTTTTCTTTTGTTGTGTGCACAAATTTCCTTGGGGCCAGAAACAAATTTTGACAAGGCTTTCCCTTTTCTTCATGTCAAACATTTTATTGTATATAGGTACAGTAATCACAGAGCCATGAAAGGACCTGAGAAATAAGTAGGATTTGAAATATTAAATGCAACCAATCTTTGATTTAGAAATTTGGCATATTCTCATCAATAAAGAAAGCTTCATTCAAGGGCTTGAAATATGTGTGAAATATACATCTTATTTGCAGAATTTTCAGGCCATTGAGCCTGTTTTATAAAATAGAAAGCCACACCAAATAATTTGAATGTCAAATGAAATGCTTTTATTACATTTTAATTTTTTTTAATGTCAGAATCAGTTAGTTTTTTTTTAATACCAGAGGCCCAGTAAATAAAAAGCAGGAACCGTTTTTTGCAGTTTAGTATCAGCCATTCAATAAAAGCAAAGGATTCCAAGATCATGTTTAGTGATTAAAAAAAAAAAGAAATTCCTGCTGTTTTAGATATGCTCTTTGGTGAGGAAGACATATTTTAATTAAGCCCTGCACCTAATTGAATGTAAATTCTGAAAAAGGAATTTTTATTTATCCTGAACATGGGCACATGATTCTCAGTAATAAATCTGGTAATTTACCTACAAATATGCCTTATTTTTTCTGATTTTGGCCTATTTTACACTGACAGGAAGTTTTTTGTGGCACTAAGTGAGTTGGCACTTGGCACTCAGAAATTGGGGTTCCCTTTGAAAACACAATGGAGGGAGATTTGTTCCTGGGAAATTTGCACTAAGCAAGGGTGGCACTAAATTGGGGGATACTTAATCAAGGATTAACTGTATTAATCAAGAGTTAACTGTGGGTTAACTGCAATAGTTGAAGTTTCAAATACACCTTTATATGGTTCAACTGAACAAAACTCACTTGAGAACAAAGCTGACCCTATTGCAAGGAATCCCACCAACACCAGCAGTAACAACAGGAGTAGAATCTTTTCCAGAGCAGTTCTTCTTGCCCAGCAACTTCTGCAAAAATAAAAAACAGGACAAATTGAAACAAAAACACACACACACTTATTGCAAAACATTTCTTTCAACCAGAAGAGGATAAATTCGATTTTAGTTTTGACCAGTGATGAAAATTAAATCTTTCAGCATGATATTCAGTCAAGATTTTTGGATATGAGTTCAAGTAAATGCAGCTGATTATTTTAATTGAGAACATTCAAAGAAGATAAATACTGTGTAACTCTTAATGACAAAAAGCAGATGATAACAGCACAATAAAGCATATTAAAAAGTTTATATTACCCAAATTGACCTTGTCCCACAGAAAAAAAGAGAAATATATGCTGACCCATGATGTGCAAGTACTACTTTATTCAGCTTATTAGCACAACTTCAAAGTCGACCCCTTTATTGTTGGGATTTCGATTTTTAAAAACCAGGAAAAATGGATTTGCAAAAAGATTTCCAGAGGCTCTCTTCCTTCATTCCTCTCTCCACGCCATGGAATATGATTGAAATTATTTGCATATAAAAAAGGCTTGATAAAATATCAAAAGATTGCGTCCCACGTAATTTATTCCTCGCGTCCTCTCAACCTTTTTCACACAAGCTCACACAAAAATTCTGACCCGGGTTATATGCTAATTTTCAGCCAGTACTTCAAGTACTATACTTTAAAAAAATATCATCAAGTTCGCTGGGAGGTGAAATCAGGAAGCCATGAAAGACTTCAATTTATTTTTAATATCGAGAGGAAAAAATATAACCTATTGCCTTAATTTTAATTTTCAAAAATGAAATAAAAATGGCACGTATGCCATTCATTTCTGAAAACCCTTCAACTTCTTTCCTGTTATTTCCAGCCTGCATATTTCAAAGAAAAAACATTTCATAATCTACTTTACTTTCCTCAACTCTGGTAAAAGTACTCCATGGAAACAATTTTTAGGATGGATAAAAGTACAGTAAAAATTTCCACACAAAAAAGCACCAAGAGCAGCTCAATTTTCAAGATTGCCTGCCACATTTCATCATCAATTCTTCAGCAAGATGAATGTCCACTTTCTCAAGAACGGAGAAAAATAGACAAAAGAAAATAAATATGGTTTCTTAGGTGAAAAAAAAGACTGTGGAACCCTGAATAGATAAGCAAAGAAGACAAAAACATGAAAGATTATTGTAATAAATTGCAGGTAATTTTTTTAATCTTGAGCTTATTTTTGAAAAGAAGAATAATCTAAAAAACATTCATGAATATTTCAAGATAAACTTGATGCGACATTTCCGCAGATTAAATTTCCTTTCCTTTGACGCAAAATAATTTAAAATTTAGAGAAAAAAAAATAAACCAAGCAGAACCAGAAAATGGTTTCCCTGGTTTCAGGTCATTTTTCGAGGGGTATGAAGTTGATACTCATCTCCAGAAATATGGACAAAACCTTGTCTGATGGAACAGACCCTTGTTTTTATATGTTTCGAATTTTTATGACAATGATGAAAAAAAAACCCCAACTGCGGAGTTGTTTGTGCCAATATATCAGGGTTTTATTTTGGACCCAGATGGAGGAAACTTTTAAGCCCTGGAATTTTTTAGGTCAGGGATAAATTTTCATTCTCCTGCTTTTATTTTTATTTTTTTGTGTCTAAAAAAAAGGATCATCCTGCCTCAGAGATATTCAATCTGCTTCTCGCATAAATGAAGGTACATGATTTGCATAAGTAGTAAAAAAAGGCATCCTCCATTATCTCTTTCTTCTCAAGAATCTTCAAAGAAAAGTCCTTTGTTATGCAAGTACCATCATGCAAGCTTTTTTTTTCTTCTTAAGAAAATTAGGCGCATTTTTGCATTTTTTAATTTAGCAGAGTGAAAAATCTTAAGAAAATTATAATACATTCATTTTATTGCTTTTATTGAGCAGAATAAATCAAATAGATTTTTTATCCAATGAATGAACTCAAATACATTTCAAATGCACAAGATTTAACTCATTTAAAAAATGAGTTTTGTAAATCAAATACCAATATGAAGAACTTGTGCCTTCCTTCAGGTCAAAATTTTTACTTGAGAATGCTGTGACAAACATTTATGATATTCAATTCATCTTTTAAATTTCATAAGGGGCTGAAATAAAACACAATTCTTTGATCACTATATATAACCAGGAGAAATACTTTAGTGATGATCTCTTGCCCCTGAAGTGACAGAGTTTTACTCAAAAATTTTAATTGCTTTCTGCTTTCTTGATGAAGTTAAGGAAAATACTTTGGAGAGTTTGCATTATACTGTACAACTTTTTATTTGTGCGCATGTATATTGATTTGGTACAAGCATACATGATGGGTATGGTATATATCATCTGAATTGAATTGAACAGTAAGCTTTATTTTCTGCTTTTCAGCATTCACAAGGTTCAAGCAATGTTCCCACATCCAAACCCTCTCCTTTCCCTACCCACATTCATCAAAACACATTCCATCACATCAGGATAAAAACAGAGAAATAAGCGGTAAACGCGCGGATATTAAAAGAGAGTAAAATGCATACCAAAATGTGGAATTTCACAACTGATTTAAATGCATACACTTTCTTACCTTCCTTGATAACAAAAACAAAATATCAGTAATAAGAATTGCAGCATGCAGCAATTACTGAACCCAAATTAAAGCACAAGGTGTTAACTCAGCCTGAATTTATAACTGCTTTTCATGAAAGGGAAGAATTTGTTTCAAGTAATTTCTTGTCATTTGTTTTGAATTGAGGAGGAAAATAAACTCACCCAGGGTGGGAAAACTCCAGGGCAATGCCATTGGAGCACCTCCTGAGAGTGTTGCCATTGGTGGCAGCAGGTGGCCATTTGCTTCCCAGTGGACAGGCCACATAGGAGACCCCTGCAGAGTCTGCCTTGATGCTCACCCTTGGCTCAGGCAACAAAGGGGTTCCATTGCCACTCTGGGACTCCCTCATGACCCAGTTCCTTGAATGTACAGAGTAGATCATTTCACAAATTATAGCTTCATTCATAATTTTTTTTTAAATTTCCAGTCATATTTAATGTATACTATTGTCTCAAAGTTTTTGGACAAATGAATTTATATTCTTCAATTGCTCACAGTTTGAGTGACTTCAGAGTTCTGAGAGGTTTAAATCACTTTACCTTTATATGGTTCAATTGAAAAAAAAAAAAACTCACTTGAGAACAAAGCTGAACCTATTGCAAGGAATCCCACCAACACCAGCAGTAACAACAGGAGTAGAATCTTTTCCAAAGCAGTTCTTCTTGCCCAGCAACTTCTGCAAAAAGAAACGAACAAGGCAGATTGAAACAAAAACACACACACACTTATTGCAAAACATTTCTTTCAACCAGAAGAGGATAAATTCGATTTTAGTTTTGACCAGTGATAAAAATTAAATCTTTCAGCATGATATTCAGTCAAGATTTTTGGATATGAACTCAAGTAAATGCAGCTGATTATTTTAATTGAGAACATTCAAAGAAGATAAATACTGTGTAACTCTTGATGACAAAAAGCAGATGACAACAGCACAATTAAGCATATTAAAAAGTTTATATTATATCTAAAACCAAATTTGACCTTGTCCCAGAGAATAAAGGAGAAATATGCTGACCCATGATGTGCAAGTACTACTTTATTCAGCTTATTAGCACAACTTCAAAGTCGACCCATTTATTGTTGGGATTTCGATTTTTTTTAAACCAGGAAAAATGGATTTGCAAAAAGATTTCCAGAGGCTCTCTTCCTTCATTCCTCTCTCCACGCCATGGAATATGATTGAAATTATTTGCATATAAAAAAGGCTTAATAAAA